GTTAACTTCAGCACCGGTGTTGACTATTCCCGATCCTTCTCGGAGTTTCACTATCTTAAGTGATGCTTCGAGACAGGGCTTGGGATGTGTCCTTATCCAGGACGGACAGGTCGTTGCGTATGCTTCACGTCAGCTTAAGCCTCATGAGCAGAACTATCCGAGGCATGACATGGAGTTAGCAGCAGCCGTTCATGCTCTCAAGATATAGCGACATTATCTTTACGGAGGACGTTGCGAGATTTTCACAGATCATAAGAGCCTGCAGTACATCTTCACGCAGAAGGAGCTTAATATGAGACAGCGCCGTTGGCTCGAACTTGTTAAGGATTACGACTGCTCTATTCAGTATCATCCGGGAAAGGCGAACGTCGTCGCAGATGCCCTAAGCCGAAAAGTGAAGGGTGATTTGACGTACGTCATTACGTAGCAGAGTCCGTTGATTCATGAGTTTGCCCGGATGCAGCCTCAGGCCATCGATGCACTTCTCATAGCGGTTTCGGGGAGTACCAGTGCCAGTATCAGTGCTATGCAGCTTCAGCCGACGCTGAGAGAGAGAATTCGGCGAGAGCAGGCTTCTGACGAGTTTGTTCGTGTCATGGAGGCCAGGGTTCGCGCCGGAGGCGTCGAGGGTTTTCAGCTAGGTGCCGATGGTGCCCTAGAGTTCAGAGGCAGGATCGTGGTCCCGAAGGTCGAGGCGTTGCGGAAGGAGATTCTATCAGAAGCACATACCGCACCCTATCTGGCCCATCCCGGGAGCACGAAGATGTATCACGATCTGAAAGGGTCGTTCTGGTGGCGGGGCATGAAGAAGGACGTCGCCGAGTTCTTCAGGAGATGTCTTACCTGTCAGCAAGTCAAAGCCGAGCATCAGAGTCCGATTGGCCTCCTGCAGCCACTACCGATTTCGAGGTGGAAGTGGGAAGAAGTCACGATAGATTTCGTTACGGGATTGCGGTGGTCGTCTGAACATCACGACGCTATCTGGGTTGTGGTCGACAGATTGACTAAGGTCGCGCATTTCTTACCCGTTTCGATGAAGATGTCTCTGGACAAGTTGGCTGAGATATATACCCGTGGGATCATCCGACTCCACGGAGTGCCCGTTACGATCGTATCAGACAGAGATCCCAGATTCGTCAGTCGATTCTGGCACAGTTTACATGAGGCGATGGGCACGAAGTTAGAGTTCAGTTCAGCCTACCATCCGGAGACAGATGGTCAGTCCGAGCGGACCATTCAGACACTTGAGGATATGCTTCGCGCTTTGGTTGTTGACAGGGGTGCTAAGTGGGAGTCGTTGTTGCCGTACGCCAAGTTCGCGTACAACAACAGCTATCATTCTTCCATTCAGATGGCTCCGTACGAAGCACTTTATGGTCGCAAGTGTCGTTCTCCTCTCTATTGGGACGACGTCGGAGAGCGGCGAGTACTCGGTCCTAAGATGATCGAGGAGACAGCGGAGCAGGTCGAGTTGATACGGCAGAGACTCAGGACAGCTCAGAGTCGACAGAAATCTTCTGCCGATCATCATCGACGAGACATTCAGTTCAAGGTTGGCGAGCCCGCCTTTCTCAGAGTTCGTCCAATTCGCGGAGTCGTGCGATTCGGAAAGAGAGGGAAGCTGCACCCTCGTTTCATCGGTCCGTTCGAGGTTCTTGAGCGAGTAGGCGATGTCGCGTATCGATTAGCCCTACCTCCCGAGTTATCAGGCATTCATAATGTATTCCATGCATCGATGTTACGTAAGTACGTGTGCGACCCCGATCATGTCATCCCGCATACGGATATTCAGGTTCAGCCAGATCTATCGTACGAGGAGCGACCGGTAGCTGTACTAGACCGTCAGGTTCGTCGGCTCCGGAAGCGAGATATTCCCCTCGTGCAGATTCAGTGGGATCGCCACGGAGCTACTTGGGAGGAAGAGTCTGATATTCGCGCTCGTTTCCCAGATTTTCAGTACTGATGTACATATTTCTTTATTCTATGTACATAGTTCATGTATATCAGCTATGTTTTGAATTTCCGAGGACGGAAATTTTGTAAGGAGGGAGGATTGTAATATCCCGATATT